GCTGCTCCTGGCGGTGGCCAGATGCAGCTCCCGCGACGTCCGAGTGAGTCCCTCACGCCCCAGCAGCTTCGTGAGTGGTACGCTCAGCGTGGAGGGTCACGGGGTACTGCTCGCTGCCCGTACGTCATTCGCACTGGTGCTCGGACTGGTCAGCCTTGCGGGACGTTTGGTCACACAGAGTCCCGCTGCTTCGCCCGTCTGAGCGACGCCTCGCGTACAGAGTTTGGCGACGCGGCTGAGCTCCCCGACTGGGTGGAGCTGCTTAGGCAGAGGGTAGATATCTATGCTCTTGACTATGATGCTATCCTCACTGCCATGTATGCATTTCCTACTAGTGCTGAGAGTGCCTGTCACCTGTGTGTGCCGCCTGACCCCGGTATCCAGTCTGCTGCTCTAGGTACTGGTGAGGCTGCTGCACTAGGGCAGGCAGTGCGAGTAGCTGCAGGGCAGCGCGACACTGTATGAGCAGGGCCAGACCGCGCAAGTGCGCTTCGGGCAGGAACTAGCGGAACTATCGGTGGGGCCTAAAAACCTAACAGGTTTCCTGCTCTGAATACCGTGTCAGAATCACTATGCAGGAATGATTGGATTAGCAAGAGTTGGGGTACAAGTACTACCGTCATCGCCCGGATAGTAGACAGTGTTGAATAGTAGACAGGGGTTGTCTATTATCCAGGTTTCTCTTATAAACAGGCTAGCCTCATTATAAGACACCTATTTGTGTGTACGAGATAAGACATATATGTCTTATAATCAGAGCAGGGGTTAGGGGTTTTCTTATAAACAGAGGGGGTGTCTTCTAAACGAACATTAGTTACTTTAGGGGGGTACATGTACACATCTATGAATCTCTACTTCTACCTAGCCCTACTCAGTCACGGCCTCCTCACCTGCACTAAAGAACAGGCTCCCTAACACCCAGGTCTAGCACTCGCCAGGCATGCCTAGCCGTCTCCCTAGGCTCGATCATGCGGTCAGCCTCAGCCGCCGCTCCGCGGTAGTTGGGGGTCTCCTGGTACAACACATCCAGGCCGGAGGCCACTGCCACCTCCCTCACGCCCTCCGCCTGCACCTTGTCCTCCTCCTCCTCTGGAGCCTGCCCAAGCAGGCGCGTGTTGTCGCCCGTGGTTCCCCCGAGGCACATGTCCTCGGAGACATCGGTGGTGCTCCTGGCGCGCAGGTGAGACATCACCAGGTGGTTCTCCGTCCCATCCAGCTTGCTTGAAATCCCACAATGGCGGAACGCTTCAATTATGACCTTCTTGGGGACTTGATCCCACGCCTCCGCGATCCACTGCAGCACCACGGGGTGCGGAGGCCGCCGCAGGTTTCCTGCGAGTGGGACAGAGGAAGGGGTAGCGAGCTGTTAGAGTCATGGAAAGAGAACAGCGCAGAAGTTTAATTCAATAGGCTACTCACCCGCCTTCGTCTTTAGGTGAATCCCTTCACGCATGAACCACCTGGCGTAACGCGCTCGCACAGCAGCCTTGAAGCATCGGTTGATGGAGACGTCAAGGGGTTGAATCTGGCTCGTGCAACCCGCTGGGATCACTGCAGGGGTGATGCTGTGCGTGCGGTAAGCTTGAAGCATGGCCTGGGTGATGTGGCCGCGGTAGGAGTCCAACACCAGCATCGCACGCCTCGCGTTCTGGCCGCGCTGGGGGTTCAGATGGGGCAGCACCTCCTTGGTCAGCCAGGTTTGCACGGCGCTCTCGTCCATCCAGCCGTTGTCCTGTGCTTGGCATACGATTCCTTCCAGGCACATAGGGGATAGACGGGAGTCAGCCAAGGAGGGCAAGCTCATCAGGCTTACGGCTCCCGAATTCCTTGAGCTTACCTTCCGGAATCTCACAGTTGGGCACGTTCTTCAGCTTGAACCAAACCCACTGGCGCAGTTTCTCCCCGGATGCGATGCATGCGAGCATCACCGTGAGCCGAGTCTTCTCGTATCCTGTAGTGCGGATTGGGACCGAGCGCGCGCCACGGTGCTCGATCGTCCTCTCGGCTGGCATCTCAACGAAGAGGGGCGTCTGGTCCGCGTTGATGATACGGGCCAGGTCGATATTGTGCCGCGCCCTGTTGATGCGCACGAACTTCCAGAACGACTCGCAGTCCTTAGCGCATTCTGCAAAGAGAACACACGCCACGACAGGAGGGGATGGTTAGAAACAAAGGGCGAGGAACATGCCGTCAAGCATCGAGCGCGAATTCAAAGCCTTTACCACTCACCAGCCGATAACCTTTGGCCGACCTTGGTCTTCACACGTATGACCAGGTTCCAGCGGTCACGGAAACGCTGGCTCCAGTGAGAGCTCGCGTTCCAGTTCTTGCCGGGGTGGTGCTTCTTCATCCACTCGCGGCTCCACTTCTGGGTGTCTTTCACTGAGATCGCCACCCCATTAGCGCGCTGCAGACAGACGTAGCGGTACAACGCCGCCTCCATGTCGGGGTAGTGTGCGTGGCGGCCCCCCCCGTGCATCCGCTTGCGGCAGTTCGCTCCTCCTTTGTAGACGCCCGCAGCCGCCTCCGCACACCAGCGTCTGATGCAGGCGATGGATGCGGTAGATTCCACGGATGTCTTCTTCAAGGAGCTGAGCTCGTGGTAGCGGCGCGCCCATTTGAGCTTCTCGCGTACGGTCCATCCGCGTCGCCTTTTCTTACTATCCTTGCTGCGAGGGGAAGGTGGACGGGAGTTGGGATTATGGAGGGTGGGGTCTTTCGGCTTCGCCTTCTCAGGGAATGAAGGAATCGGGCCTGCAGCCTCCGCGTAGTCATCGTCGCTGCCGAGCGCCTCGTTGACCACGATGTCAACCTTGCTTGCCGTTTTCTTCTTCTTCTTAGCAGCACCCGTGCTGGATCCGGGGTCGCCGTCGTTCTTCCGCTTCTTATGGCTTGTGCGGCGACGAATGGTGGCCTTAGCAGGGGCTTCCGCGACCGCGCTTTTCCCCTTGTCTGCAGCAGTGAAGCGCGGTTGACGCTCCTCCCCCGGACTGTCGTCATCAGAGAGCACCACGCGGGCACGCTTCGGCTTGGATTGTAGGCGATGATGCAGCCTCCGCTTAAGAAGCGGAACATCGTCGTCACCCGTGATGTTCCACGGGTCGTCATTGGAGTTTTCACCGTCAAATAAGACAGCATCAGCATCTCCCTCCGCAGCATCCGTATCTGCCTCCGCCACAGCATCCGCATCCGAATCCACAATTGCGGCCACATCCGCGGGCGCAACAGCATCGGCATCCGCTTCCGCCTCCTCTTCCGTCCTCGCTTCCGCATCCGCCTCGTCGTCAGCCTCCGCATTCGTATCCACCGTCGCTCCCGTTGCATGCGCCGCTGCCTCCGCGGGCTCACCATCAGCATCGGCACCCTTTTCGTTGTCCGAATCACCAGCCCGCCACTCTTCCACTTCGTCCTCACTCCCAACCGGTCGATTCCACCAGTCGTCCTCGTCGATGTCGGCAGGAGCTATTTCATCCCCCGAAGCGCTATCGTCGTGGCCGTTCTCCGGCCAATCCTCCTCGACGTCGTCGCCGTGTTCTTCGTCGCCATCGTCGCCGTGTTCTTCGTCGCCGTCGTCCCCGTCACAGCTCGCACCGGAGGCGGCGGTAGATGTTCCTGCCTTGCGCGTATTCTTCGCCATGGCCACACGGATGTCATCACCGGGCGAGTTAATTCGCCCTTAGTTATTCACCTGCACGTGAGGGCGATGTGAGGACGTGCCTACGGGGACTTTTCTGCGCATGGTTACGGTAAGCCTGCCGAGAGCGAAGGTTGAGTTGAGATCCCAACCTCCTTGAGCACCAAATGAAGCTCAAGCCCGACTACCCCCCCCCCAGCCAGAGTGCCCCTTCCAAAGGTGCCGAGCCGCTCCTCTACAAGGAATCTCCTCGTAGAGGACAGCCCTCACGCTGCCATGGTGCTGCCAGCAGCGTTCTGGAAGCATCCATGCACTGCTGGCAGCAAAACGACGCTGGCAGCATCATTACATGCTGCCAGCACGGAGGGATGTTGCGAGCAGTGGCAGCTTTGCTGCATCCCTCACGTGGCAAGTGGGGGTGCTGCATGCATCACCACCGAGGTCGTCCTGTTTCAACGAATCTGGCCCCTGGGTGGTTTCTACACACTTTGCAAATGTTACAAAGTACTTATATTTTTTTCCATTTATAAGACTTATAAGACACCATAAACCATCCCAAATACAAGATAACCCAAGCATTTTGAGTAGTGTACGAGATAAGACATATATGTCTACTATCCGGACGATGACGGTAACCCTAGAAGTGCTGCACCCCATAAGGAGTGCCCCAATATAGCCTACAAGTAAGATTGTACTTCTCCATTTCGTCCCCCCTTAAAGCACGAGTTCTACATGGCTGTTTTCAAATTCAAGATTCTTGAAAATGAACTCGCCAATAACCAAGTTACCACCCGAAGTGAAGCATTCCGTCGCTTCAGAGGAAAGGTTTTGCAACTCTGATGCATGATTGGCCAGCGACAGAACAAGGCTTCCGGGGTGAAGTGTCAATGGGAGATGGAGCACTGTTCACATTCAGTAAACTTGAAAACCAAGTTGTACTAATTGGCAGCCATATTTAGCCACAATACATGTTGTCTACTCCGCTATTCAGACCCACAAGAGCGCATGAGCTCTTATTTTCACAATGGCAGCGAGCTGTCTGTATCCTTGCAGCAGCCTGTTTGTTGTTCTCCAAAAAAAAAAAAAAAGCCAGTATAAAGAAGAACGTCACGTGAAACGCCCATTTCTTTAGGGACGATGGCGCTCTCATGTACGTGCGAAGCGCAAGGAACGGGCGCTTGCCTGTCTTCAAGTCGCTTGCCAAATTCTCGACGCACCTGCTTCCGCCCGTCGCACTCCCTTCCGCGTGCACTCCCTTCCGCGTGCACTCCCTTCCGCGTGCACTCCCTTCCGCGTGCCTGCACTCCCTTCCGCCTGTCGCACTCCCTTACGCCCATCGCCCTCCCTCCCGCCGTCGCCCTCCCTTATGCCCGTCGCCCTCCCTAGCGCTCGTCGCACTCCCTTCCGCCGTCGCCCTCCCTTCCGCCCGTCGCACTCCCTAGCGCTCGTCGCATCCCCTTCCGCCCGTCGCACTCACTTCTGCCCATCGCACTCCCTCCGCCCGTCGCACTCCCTTCCGCCCGTCGCCCGCCCTTCCGCCGTCGCCCTCCCTTCCGCCCGTCGCCCGTCGCCCTCCCTTCCGCCCGTCGCCCTCTCTTCCGCCCGTCGCCCTCCCTTCCGCCCGTCACCCTCCCTTCGTCTCGTCGCCCTCCCTTCCTCCCATTGCCCTCCCGACCGCCCGCCGCCCTACCTTCCCCTCGTCGCGCTCCCTTCCGCCCGTTGCCCCCCCTTTGTCTCGTCGCCCTCCCTCTCGCTCGTCCCCTCCAATCCCCGTATCTCTCTCTCCCCTCGTCGCCCTGGCATCCCCGTCACTGTCGCCATCCCTCCCTTCTCCCTTCCCAACTCGCACAATTGTCACGCCCCCTTTCCAACCCGCACACACCCTTCCCTTTCCCCAATGATCGCCTTTCACCACCACAATGCTTACCTCTCTCCTTCCCCACATCATTTGCGGGCTCCCCACCGTCCTCCCCCCAGCTCTCTCCCCGGCATCTCCCCCGCTCCCCACGTCCTGCTTCCCCCCATCCTCTTCCCCGTTTCCCCAGTGTTTCCCGCGCTGCTTCCCCCCATCCTCTGACTTGCTTCCCCCCATCCACTTCCCTGCTTCCCCCCATCCCCTTCCCTGCTTCCCCCCATCCCCTTCCCTGCTTCCCCATGTCCCTTTCCCTGCTTCCCCCCATCCCCTTCCCTGCTTTCCCATGTCCCTTTCCCTGCTTCCCCCCATCCCCTTCCCTGCTTCCCCCCATCCCCTTCCCTTCTTCCCCCCATCCCTTTCCCTCCTTCCCGCCATCCCCTTCCCTACTTCCCCCCATCCCCTTCCCTGCTTCCCCATGTCCCTTTCCCTGCTTCCCCATGTCCCTTTCCCTGCTTCCCCCCATCCCTTTCCCTGCTTCCCCCCATCCCGTTCCCTGCTTCCCAATGTCCCTTTCCCTGCTTCCCCCCATCCCCTTCCCTTCTTCCCCCCATCCCTTTCCCTGCTTCCCCCCATCCCTTTCCCTGCTTCCCCCCATCCCCTTCCCTTCTCCCCCCCATCCCTTTCCCTGCTTCCCCCCATCCCTTTCCCTGCTTCCCCCCATCCCCTTCCCTGCTTCCCCCCATCCCCTTCCCTGCTTCCCCCCATCCCCTTCCCTGCTTCCCCCCATCCCCTTCCCTGCTTCCCCCCATCCCCTTCCCTTCTTCCCCCCATCCCTTTCCCTGCTTCCCCCCATCCCTTTCCCTGCTTCCCCCCATCCCCTTCCCTTCTCCCCCCCATCCCTTTCCCTGCTTCCCCCCATCCCTTTCCCTGCTTCCCCCCATCCCTTTCCCTGCTTCCCCCCATCCCCTTCCCTGCTTCCCCCCACCCCCTTCCCTGCTTTCCCATGTTTCTACCTACCACCTGTCAACGCGCCACCCCATTTTCACCGAGCGCAACACAGGACGGGTAGGCGCCTCAGGCGCGACCGGTGACGAAAAAAAAAAAAAAAAAATCAGCGCATGTCGCACGGCAGCGTGAGCGGGCCCATGTTCATTGAAAGAAAGTAGGTCCTAAGACCGTAGTAGCTCTGATTCCATGTCAAGATAGTAGCTTAGGAGGCTAGGGTTTTTGGAAGAGAGAGTTGGCCAAGAGAAGAGGGGTTGCACTAACAATGGGAGTACAAGATATAGGAAAGGGGAGGTGGTGAAGGGAGGTAGACCACCTAACAAAAATGTTGGGTGATAATACACTACTAATTAGACATGCAATTATATAAGAATAACACATTCTGACACAAGTGCGCACGCGCGCGCATGTGTGTATGTGAGTGCAAGCGCGCGCTCGCACATGTATGTGTGTGAGTGTGTGAATGCGTACATGTGCATGCATATGTCTGTGTGTGTGTGCTTGTGTGCATGCATGCGTGTGTGAATGCGCCCCCCACGCCATTCACTCCCTCATCTCCACCAGGGCGAGGGCGGCCAGTGGTGGCACAGTCAGCATGGCCGTGTCTGCTTGGAACCAGGGGCCTGCTCCTTGCACTGCTGGGACCATGCCATGCTGCTCCTGAGTGTGGTGCAGCGGGGTGCAGAGGGGTGAAGAGGGGTGCAGGGAAGGAGCAGATTGAGCTTGGAAAAGGAAGGCGATCATTCGGAAACGACTGGATCACAGACACAGGAGAGGTGAGAGGGAGCATGGGAGACCCAGTGGGCGAACAATGGGAGGGGGATAGGAGGATGAGAGGCGAGGGGCAGAGGGGGAGGCACTGACCTGCAGTGGGTGTGGAATGAGATTGTGTGAGAGTAGGGACGGCAGGTGCAGGTGGGCAGGCTGGGGCTGCATGCTCACTACCAGCACCAGCATACGGAACCTGCCATGGAGTGAGTGAGAGACGCGTTTCAAAGGTCGCATTAAGTGAAGGTGCATCCGAGGTCTTAGAATAATCAATTTGCGATGGGTAAATAGCTGCTGTGCGAAGGACAACCAAACACGTTTCTCGGGGGAGGTGGTGGTGGGAATGGATTTTAGCTTTCCACATACTGCTCTGCACCCATCTGCCCATGCCATGCCATGTGATGCATGCATCGAATCAGATAAGAGGCAGATGATGATCATGTGAAGCAGAGAGACCCACCTAATACACGGCTGAAAGCACATCTTAGAGGCTTAGACTGCTCTGGCCGGCCAGAGTTTCTCTGCTCTGCGCCTTGCTGTGTCTCACCTTGGGCTCCTTCTGGTTTGAGTTGACTCACATGCTGGTCATGACTGGTGAGAGCAGGGCGAGCTCACCTGGAGTCCAGCTGGGCCATGCCCGAGCCAGCGTCGCCATCAGTCACACTCATTACTATCACCCCTGGCAGCGCTGTGGGGCCCACGTTGAGGAATCGCACTCGCTCCTGTGGGAGGGCCGGGGAAGGGGTGAGGGCATGGGAAGGCATGGCAGGGAAAGGCAGGGGAGGAGTGGAAGGGTGACGGCACGGGGTGAGCAAAGGGAAGAGGCAACACAGGCAAAACGCAAGGCAGGAGATGAGGAGGAGAAAGGGTTGGTTTAAAAACATGTGGCTGTCAGTGAGCATGGCTGAGAAGAGCAGAGGGTGCATGCTCAGACCTGAGATGGTCTTGTCAATTCATCCCACAACGGATCGCCTCACCCGACCTGTGAGAAAGCTAGAAAACCCCGATGGCTGACGGTGCTGTCCGAGCTTTGAATCAACTAGAAGGATAAGGCTTCTGGCCACCCGACCCGGACCTCTCCCCCTGCTCACCTGAACGAGCTGCAGCGAGGGCAGGCGGCAGAGCTCCAGTCACCTCACCCACCAGACCCTCTCTCCCGGACGTTTCTCCCTGCTCACCTGAACGAGCTCCAGCGAGGGCAGGCGGCAGAGCTCCAGTCACCTCACCCACCAAACCCTCTCTCCCAGACGTTTCTCCCTGCTCACCTGAACGAGCTCCAGCGAGGGCAGGCGGAAGAGCGGCGAGGAGTAGCGCACATCCAGCAGCATGCGCAGGTAGCGTGACGTGGCACCTATGTCTGCTGACGTGGGGCGCAACGATTGGTTCGCCAGGAGTGGACGCATCCTGCGAGGAGCAGTGCGAGGACGGGGGTGCGGGGAAAAGGGGGGTGCGTGCAGGGGAGAGAGGCTCATACAGGTGACAGGAACCTTCACTACACACAAGCATTCAAGATCCAAGTCTTGCTGACAGGTTGTACACCAAGGAGAGTGAGAAGCTTGTTCCATCTGTGTGGCACAAGGGACAGAAGAATGGTGGAACAGTGGAGTGGAGTGCGGTGCAATGTGGCAGCGCAAGCTGCTTCAGGAAAGCGGATCAGGGGCTCCTTTGAGAGCGGATAATACTCGCACTGCCAAAGTGCTGCCCGCCTGCCTTCTTTCCCCCCATATCAATGTCCCCTCTCTTTTTCCCCCATTCTGCCCCCCTCTCCCTCCCTCCCTCTTTCTCCCCTCCTGTCTCTCCCCTTCCCCCCCTGCCCTCACATGTCCCATTTGTCGCCGTTCTTCTCATGCGGGGGCAGCCCCACGCCAAAGTTGCTGCTGCCACCCGACCAGTCCAGCCTGGCAGCACAAGCATGCATGCCGGGCACAGCAGTCGGGGCCCGCCCAGGGAGGAGCAGTGGGAGGGGCACGCAGGAAAAAGGGCAGTGAGAAGGGTAGAGGAAAGATGAGGGACTGGGTTGCATTGGAGAGGAGATCAGGTGATGAAACCTTTTGAGGCGCCTCAAAAGCCACCTCAATGCATGAGGGAGAGGAGTGCCGGTGCCTCCATGCATCTCTCCATGCATCTCTCCATGCATCTCTCCATGCATCTCTCCATGCATCTCTCCATGCATCTCTCCATGCATCTCTCCATGCATCTCTCCATGCATCTCTCCATGCATCTCTCCATGCATCTCTCCATGCATCTCTCCATGCATCTCTCCATGCCTCAGTGGCCAGTTGAACCAGCCTGCTCACAGGTCGTTCCCCCACGTGGCCAGTTGAACCAGCCTGCTCACAGGTCGTTCCCCCACGTGGCCAGTTGAACCAGCCTGCTCACAGGTCGTTCCCCCACGTGGCCAGTTGAACCAGCCTGCTCACAGGTCGTTCCCCCACGTGGCCAGTTGAACCAGCCTGCTCACAGGTCGTTCCCCCACGTGGCCAGTTGAACCAGCCTGCTCACAGGTCGTTCCCCCACGTGGCCAGGCCACAGGTTTCTTTCTCTCTCGCACCAGGCCTAAATGCGACGAGACCGACGGAGCAGTGCATGCTGAGGCTCAATGAGCCCATTGAGATGAGAATCCATACAAAGCGTCGTAACAGAAAGTGCTGAGGCGTTCGCACACGCATTCGCTCTCAGCACTGAATGGTAAGGAAGCCTGTTGAGCGCACAGAAATGGCCCAGCAATGGTGCTCACTCAGACTGACCGGTTGAACCAGTCCCCCGAGTTGTAGGAGTCGCGGTCGAGCGACTTGGAGCGCAGCAGGTCGTCACCCGCATGGATGAATGGCACGCCCTGGCCCCATGCCACCACCGCCATGCCCACTCGGTTCATTGCCACGCGCTGCTGAGGGGTTGCTGCTGCTGCTGCCTGGTGGGTGGGGATGGGAAAGAGTGTGGATGGGCGGGAGGGGATGGGAAGGTGTGTGGATGAGCTTTGTGACGTCTCAGGTCGTCCCCGTCCCTACCCTGCATTCCCCCCTTTCCCCTGCGTGGATGAATGGCACGCCCTGGCCCCATGCCACCACCGCCATGCCCACTCGGTTCATTGCCACGCGCTGCTGAGGGGTTGCTGCTGCTGCTGCCTGGTGGGTGGGGATGGGAGAGCATGGGATGAGGGGGCGCGGAGGAGAAAAGCAGAGCAGCAGAGAGGAAGATGCCCTCTGAGATTTCTTGAAAGTGACTCTAATAGTTTGAGGATTTTTTGAAAGGGAAAAACGTGGCCTTGAGTGAAGGCAATGGGTAGGGGCGGTCGGTGGAAAGATATGTTTGCTGTGCAACAGCAGAGCAGCAGAGACACGCTGGTGCACAATGAGGAGGTGGCAGAGCATGCATGGCGTACCTTGATGGTGATGATGTCGAAGAGTGTCTCGTTGTCATGCGCAGACACGTATGTCACCTGTGCATGCAATAGCAGGAGAAAGGGCATGCACACACACATGCACATACACATGCACACACACATGCACATACACATGCACACACACATGCACATACACATGCACACACACATGCACACACACATGCACATACACATGCACACACACATGCACACACACATGCACATACACATGCACACACACATGCACACACACATGCACACACACATGCACACACACATGCACATACACATGCACACACACATGCACACACACATGCACATACACATGCACACACACATGCACACACACATGCACACACACATGCACACACACATGCACATACACATGCACACACACATGCACACACACATGCACATACACATGCACACACACATGCACACACACATGCACATACACATGCACATACACATGCACACACACATGCACACACACATGCACATACACATGCACATACACATGCACACACACATGCACACACACATGCACATACACATGCACACACACATGCACACACACATGCACACACACATGCACACACACATGCACATACACATGCACATACACATGCACACACACATGCACACACACATGCACATACACATGCACACACACATGCACACACACATGCACACACACATGCACACACACATGCACACACACATGCACACACACATGCACACACACATGCACATACACATGCACACACACATGCACACACACATGCACATACACATGCACATACACATGCACACACACATGCACACACACATGCACATACACATGCACATACACATGCACACACACATGCACACACACATGCACATACACATGCACACACACATGCACACACACATGCACACACACATGCACACACACATGCACATACACATGCACATACACATGCACACACACATGCACACACACATGCACATACACATGCACATACACATGCACACACCACACACATGCACACACACATGCACATACACATGCACACACACATGCACACACACATGCACATACACATGCAACACACACATGCACACACACATGCACACACACATGCACACACACATGCACACACACATGCACATACACATGCACACACACATGCACACACACATGCACACACACATGCACACACACATGCACACACACATGCACACACACATGCACACACACATGCACACACACATGCACACACACATGCACACACACATGCACACACACATGCACACACACATGCACACACACATGCACACACACATGCACACACACATGCACACACACATGCACACACACATGCACACACACATGCACACACACATGCACACACACATGCACACACACATGCACACACACATGCACACACACATGCACACACACATGCACACACACATGCACACACACATGCACACACACATGCACACACACATGCACACACACATGCACACACACATGCACACACACATGCACACACACATGCACACACACATGCACACACACATGCACACACACATGCACACACACATGCACACACACATGCACACACACATGCACACACACATGCACACACACATGCACACACACATGCACACACACATGCACACACACATGCACACACACATGCACACACACATGCACACACACATGCACACACACATGCACACACACATGCACACACACATGCACACACACATGCACACACACATGCACACACACATGCACACACACATGCACACACACATGCACACACACATGCACACACACATGCACACACACATGCACACACACATGCACACACACATGCACACACACATGCACACACACATGCACACACACATGCACACACACATGCACACACACACATGCACACACACATGCACACACACATGTGTGGAGAGAACACTTGGTGGGAAGGAGAGAACACTTGGTGGGAAGGAGAGAACACTTGGTGGGAAGGAGAGAACACTTGGTGGGAAGGAGAGAACACTTGGTGGGAAGGAGAGAACACTTGGTGGGAAGGAGAGAACACTTGGTGGGAAGGAGAGAACACTTGGTGGGAAGGAGAGAACACTTGGTGGGAAGGAGAGAACACTTGGTGGAAGGAGAGAACACTTGGTGGGAAGGAGAGAACACTTGGTGGGAAGGAGAGAACACTTGGTGGGAAGGAGAGAACACTTGGTGGGAAGGAGAGAACACTTGGTGGGAAAGGAGAGAACACTTGGTGGGAAGGAGAGAACACTTGGTGGGAAGGAGAGAACACTTGGTGGGAAGGAGAGAACACTTGGTGGGAAGGAGAGAACACTTGGTGGGAAGGAGAGAACACTTGGTGGGAAGGAGAGAACACTTGGTGGGAAGGAGAGAACACTTGGTGGGAAGGAGAGAACACTTGGTGGGAAGGAGAGAACACTTGGTGGGAAGGAGAGAACACTTGGTGGGAAGGAGAGAACACTTGGTGGGAAGGAGAGAACACTTGGTGGGAAGGAGAGAACACTTGGTGGGAAGGAGAGAACACTTGGTGGGAAGGAGAGAACACTTGGTGGGAAGGAGAGAACACTTGGTGGGAAGGAGAGAACACTTGGTGGGAAGGAGAGAACACTTGGTGGGAAGGAGAGAACACTTGGTGGGAAGGAGAGAACACTTGGTGGGAAGGAGAGAACACTTGGTGGGAAGGAGAGAACACTTGGTGGGAAGGAGAGAACACTTGGTGGGAAGGAGAGAACACTTGGTGGGAAGGAGAGAACACTTGGTGGGAAGGAGAGAACACTTGGTGGGAAGGAGAGAACACTTGGTGGGAAGGAGAGAACACTTGGTGGGAAGGAGAGAACACTTGGTGGGAAGGAGAGAACACTTGGTGGGAAGGAGAGAACACTTGGTGGGAAGGAGAGAACACTTGGTGGGAAGGAGAGAACACTTGGTGGGAAGGAGAGAACACTTGGTGGGAAGGAGAGAACACTTGGTGGGAAGGAGAGAACACTTGGTGGGAAGGAGAGAACACTTGGTGGGAAGGAGAGAACACTTGGTGGGAAGGAGAGAACACTTGGTGGGAAGGAGAGAACACTTGGTGGGAAGGAGAGAACACTTGGTGGGAAGGAGAGAACACTTGGTGGGAAGGAGAGAACACTTGGTGGGAAGGAGAGAACACTTGGTGGGAAGGAGAGAACACTTGGTGGGAAGGAGAGAACACTTGGTGGGAAGGAGAGAACACTTGGTGGGAAGGAGAGAACACTTGGTGGGAAGGAGAGAACACTTGGTGGGAAGGAGAGAACACTTGGTGGGAAGGAGAGAACACTTGGTGGGAAGGAGAGAACACTTGGTGGGAAGGAGAGAACACTTGGTGGGAAGGAGAGAACACTTGGTGGGAAGGAGAGAACACTTGGTGGGAAGGAGAGAACACTTGGTGGGAAGGAGAGAACACTTGGTGGGAAGGAGAGAACACTTGGTGGGAAGGAGAGAACACTTGGTGGGAAGGAGAGAACACTTGGTGGGAAGGAGAGAACACTTGGTGGGAAGGAGAGAACACTTGGTGGGAAGGAGAGAACACTTGGTGGGAAGGAGAGAACACTTGGTGGGAAGGAGAGAACACTTGGTGGGAAGGAGAGAACACTTGGTGGGAAGGAGAGAACACTTGGTGGGAAGGAGAGAACACTTGGTGGGAAGGAGAGAACACTTGGTGGGAAGGAGAGAACACTTGGTGGGAAGGAGAGAACACTTGGTGGGAAGGAGAGAACACTTGGTGGGAAGGAGAGAACACTTGGTGGGAAGGAGAGAACACTTGGTGGGAAGGAGAGAACACTTGGTGGGAAGGAGAGAACACTTGGTGGGAAGGAGAGAACACTTGGTGGGAAGGAGAGAACACTTGGTGGGAAGGAGAGAACACTTGGTGGGAAGGAGAGAACACTTGGTGGGAAGGAGAGAACACTTGGTGGGAAGGAGAGAACACTTGGTGGGAAGGAGAGAACACTTGGTGGGAAGGAGAGAACACTTGGTGGGAAGGAGAGAACACTTGGTGGGAAGGAGAGAACACTTGGTGGGAAGGAGAGAACACTTGGTGGGAAGGAGAGAACACTTGGTGGGAAGGAGAGAACACTTGGTGGGAAGGAGAGAACACTTGGTGGGAAGGAGAGAACACTTGGTGGGAAGGAGAGAACACTTGGTGGGAAGGAGAGAACACTTGGTGGGAAGGAGAGAACACTTGGTGGGAAGGAGAGAACACTTGGTGGGAAGGAGAGAACACTTGGTGGGAAGGAGAGAACACTTGGTGGGAAGGAGAGAACACTTGGTGGGAAGGAGAGAACACTTGGTGGGAAGGAGAGAACACTTGGTGGGAAGGAGAGAACACTTGGTGGGAAGGAGAGAACACTTGCACACCTGACAGGAAGGGCATGACGGGCATGACGGGCATGACGGGCATGCCGATGCCTACCACACACAATGCCGATGCCTACCACACACAATGCCGATGCCTACCACACACAATGCCGATGCCTACCACACACAATGCCGATGCCTACCACACACAATGCCGATGCCTACCACACACAATGCCGATGCCTACCACACACAATGCCGATGCCTACCACACACAATGCCGATGCCTACCACACACAATGCCGATGCCTACCACACACAATGCCGATGCCTACCACACACAATGCCGATGCCTACCACACACAATGCCGATGCCTACCACACACAATGCCGATGCCTACCACACACAATGCCGATGCCTACCACACACAATGCCGATGCCTACCACACACAATGCCGATGCCTACCACACACAATGCCGATGCCTACCACACACAATGCCGATGCCTACCACACACAATGCCGATGCCTACCACACACAATGCCGATGCCTACCACACACAATGCCGATGCCTACCACACACAATGCCGATGCCTACCACACACAATGCCGATGCCTACTACACACAATGCCGATGCCTACCACACACTATGCCGATGCCTACCACACACAATGCCGATGCCTACCACACACAATGCCGATGCCTACCACACACAATGCCGATGCCTACCACACACAATGCTGATGCCTACCACACACAATGCCGATGCCTACCACACACCTTGTACTTTGTAAAAAAATTCACAAAGGCAAAACAAGCATACCCCGCGCACCTGCACTACAGCACACACCTACACTACAGCACACACCTACACTACAGCACACACCTACACTACAGCACACACCTACACTACGGCACACACCTGCGTGCCAGTGGCATGAGAGGCGAAAGCAAAATCTCTGAGGTTGCCCGCCATGCCCGCCTGTATCACATCCACACTCTCCGCCAGTCGCCGCCGCCACCACGCTACTGATGACCCCCCCTCGCCCCCGCTCTCCTCCCCACTGCTGCTGCCGCTGCTGCTGCCACTGCTGCTGGAGCTGTATTCCCGCTTCCTCTCGCTCTCCTCGTACTCGTTGGGCTGAGACGAGGGGGATGCGATGGGATGGGATGTGATGGGATGGGATGGGATGGGATGGGATGGGATGGGATGGATGGGATGGGATGGGATGGGATGGGATGGGATGGGATGGGATGGGATGGGATGGGATGGGATGGGATGGGATGGGATGGGATGGGATGGGATGGGATGGGATGGGATGGGAGCATGGGCCATATTGGGCAGCTGAGGGAAGGCACGAGGGTGAAGGCATGGGGTGTGCGGCAGTTGCGTGGGGACAGCATGGGCACAGCTTGGGCACAAATTAAGGGCACACTAGAGAATGAAAAGAGGTGTGAAAATGAAGGAGTCGAGGAGGGTGACTTGGAGAACACTGCAGTGCACACAGCAACTAGAAACGATGGGAGCGAGAGAGACATGGGGGACCTACCTAGGGGCTTAGTTGTGGAAGACACTCGACGCGTCTTGCGTCTAGCGTCTAGATGCAGCGTCTAGACGCTAGACGCAAGACGCACTTTTAGACGCAAGAAGCTTGGGCGAATTTTTTTCGGGCAGCCCGATTTTTTTTTTTCGCACGCGCGAAATTGAAATTCGCCATTTCGACGCGAAATTCAATTTCGTGCCATTAGAACCCCTTGCCACCCATTTCGACCACAAAAACCAGCCCCCCAAGCAAATTTGAATCCCCCCCAACCAAAATTGAACACAAACCACACTTCACCACTTGGTATCTAGAAAACCCAACCTCTATGGCTAACCACCAAGGGGTTGGGGAGCACAAATCCCTCATTTGTGCTCCCCTACCTTCATTTCTTCCAAATCTCTTTCGAAAACCCTTAGGGATTAGCTACTTCCACTGCGTTTAGGAGGCGTAGTGATAGGAGAGAGATGTAGTAGTAGTAATGTTTTTCGAGTTTGCTACTACTAGAGAGACATGGAAACCTAACTATATATGATGAGATGTGAAGATTTTTGTGAAGTCTAAGAATGGGGAAAAAATTATGGTGCGGGGAAAAATTCACCCCATTGTGACATAGGTGCATGTCCCCCACCCTCCCCATGCCCCATAGAACTTTTTTTGGTCTGCCCGAACATTTTTTTTAGGCCTGCCCGGGTTTTCGTCTAATACTGCGTCTAATCTACACTGTCTAGCGTCTAGCGTCTTAGACGCTGCGTCTAGACGGATGCGTCTTCCGCAACTAAGCCTAGGGGCACATGGGGGCAATGGTGGCACATGGGGGCGCATGCGGGCACATAGGGGCACATGGGGGCCACATGGGGGCAATGGGGGCACATGGGGGCAATGGGGCACATGGGGCACGTGGGCAACACATGGGGGGACATGACATGGGAGCACACGGGGCACACACGAGCAGCAGGAGGCCCGAGGCGAAACCCTGCTGTTGTGGATTGCCGAAGGGCGACCCCCCGATCACTGCATCGCGGAACCGGTCGTTGAAACTGAAGCAGAGGGAGAGGGCAGAAGGGCGAGGACAGCAGAGCGGCGTTGGTGAATGTGGGATGGGGGATGGGAAAGAAAAAGGAACTCAGGCAAGTGGAAGAATCGCTGTGAGGAGCTAAGGCCAGCATTCGGGGAAGGCGAATATTCAGGGGGAGATGAAGAAGAACCGCTGTGTGCACAAGCGCTGTGGAAGAAGAAGAGGAGCTGCCGGGCTCGTGCTACCGCTGTACAGCTATCCACCGGCAACACGAGCCTCACCTGCCGATGCCCGTGCCATGCAGGTTGGCCTGAGTTCCGTTCACCCCGCGGCCGTTACTTGCCACCTCGCCAAAGTCCCACCCCTCGCCGTACCTGACGTGGTGCGTGCGTTCAAACCATTACAGGGCGTGAAGGGGCGTGAAGGGGCGTGGCACAAGGATAAGGGGCGTGGCACAAGGATAAGGGGCGTGGCACAAGGATAAGGGGCGTGGCACAAGGATAAGGGGCGTGGCACAAGGATAAGGAATGAGAATGGAGCCCAAGAAGCAGAGACAGCAAGATGTGACAGCAGCGGTGTGTAAAATGCCAGTGGACATGGTGTGAGCGTGAATGCTGTAATGCAGTCTAGTGGGCAGAGGTATGAGCCGTTGAAACTGTTGGTTCTCACAAGTAAGAGGACACCATCGAGAGGGGTCTCAGCAGTTGGTGCATTCTCACAGGTAGATGGCCTTGCCGTCCACCCCATGCTCCTTGATGGTGAGCGCATCAAGTGCTGAGCGGATGCGCAGCTGAGGGGAAGAAAGGAGACGAGGCAAGGAGGAGGCAGGGAGAGGAGGCAAGGAGAGGACAAGTAAGAGAGAACGGGTGTGAAGAGAAAGAAAATGATTTAGCTGTGTGTGCGGCAATGACAGCAGCAGCACTCACCATGGTGTGCTTCATGAGGTGCCCCATGAGGTCGAACCGGAACCCATCCACCTGCCAGCCAGCCAAGCAACAACGCCCACAATGTTGAAATCAAATCAGGGCCCATGGATCAAATCAAAGTTGAAAGCAGACACTTTGGCACCCTGTCCTGTCCTGACATGACATGCCATGACATGACATGACATGGTTGGTTTTGTCTGACAAGACTGCGTTTGGTGCGTAACTGTGTTTCAGATGTAACTGTTTCAAGACACTGTTCTTTTACCATAATAGTATTCTTGGCGTGAATGCGTTTTGGCCGACGGCCGTTACTCTGTTTAAAGATGCACTGTGTTTTGAACGTATCTGTGTGTCGGACATAAGTGCAGTCTACAGATACGTTGCACCGCAGCGCAGTTCACCAGAAAGCAAATAAGAAAGAATCGAGGCAATGCCTGACCTTGTACTGCGTCTCGAAAGCATCGAGGCAATGCCTGACCTTGTACTGCGTCTCGAAAGCATCGAGGCAATGCCTGACCTTGTACTGCGTCTCGAAAGAATCGAGGCAATGCCTGACCTTGTACTGCGTCTCGAAAGCATCGAGGCAATGCCTGACCTTGTACTGCGTCTCGAAAGCATCGAGGCAATGCCTGACCTTGTACTGCGTCTCGAAAGCATCGAGGCAATGCCTGACCTCGTACTGCGTCTCGAAAGCATCGAGGCAATGCCTGACCTTGTACTGCGTCTCGAAAGCATCGAGGCAATGCCTGACCTTGTACTGCGTCTCGAAAGCATCGAGGCAATGCCTGACCTTGTACTGCGTCTCGAAAGCATCGAGGCAATGCCTGACCTTGTACTGCGTCTCGAAAGCATCGAGGCAATGCCTGACCTTGTACTGCGTCTCGAAAGCATCGAGGCAATGCCTGACCTTGTACTGCGTCTCGAAAGCATCGAGGCAATGCCTGACCTTGTACTGCGTCTCGAAAGCATCGAGGCAATGCCTGACCTTGTACTGCGTCTCGAAAGCATCGAGGCAATGCCTGACCTTGTACTGCGTCTCGAAAGCATCGAGGCAATGCCTGACCTTGTACTGCGTCTCGAAAGCATCGAGGCAATGCCTGACCTTGTACTGCGTCTCGAAAGCATCGAGGCAATGCCTGACCTTGTACTGCGTCTCGAAAGCATCGAGGCAATGCCTGACCTTGTACTGCGTCTCGAAAGCATCGAGGCAATGCCTGACCTTGTACTGCGTCTCGAAAGCATCGAGGCAATGCCTGACCTTGTACTGCGTCTCGAAAGCATCGAGGCAATGCCTGACCTTGTACTGCGTCTCGAAAGCATCGAGGCAATGCCTGACCTTGTACTGCGTCTCGAAAGCATCGAGGCAATGCCTGACCTTGTACTGCGTCTCGAAAGCATCGACGGCAATGCCTGACCTTGTACTGCGTCTCGAAAGCATCGAGGCAATGCCTGACCTTGTACTGCGTCTCGAAAGCATCGAGGCAATGCCTGACCTTGTACTGCGTCTCGAAAGCATCGAGGCAATGCCTGACCTTGTACTGCGTCTCGAAAGCATCGAGGCAATGCCTGACCTTGTACTGCGTCTCGAAAGCATCGAGGCAATGCCTGACCTTGTACTGCGTCTCGAAAGCATCGAGGCAATGCCTGACCTTGTACTGCGTCTCGAAAGCATCGAGGCAATGCCTGACCTTGTACTGCGTCTCGAAAGCATCGAGGCAATGCCTGACCTTGTACTGCGTCTCGAAAGCATCGAGGCAATGCCTGACCTTGTACTGCGTCTCGAAAGCATCGAGGCAATGCCTGACCTTGTACTGCGTCTCGAAAGCATCGAGGCAATGCCTGACCTTGTACTGCGTCTCGAAAGCATCGAGGCAATGCCTGACCTTGTACTGCGTCTCGAAAGCATCGAGGCAATGCCTGACCTTGTACTGCGTCTCGAAAGCATCGAGGCAATGCCTGACCTTGTACTGCGTCTCGAAAGCATCGAGGCAATGCCTGACCTTGTACTGCGTCTCGAAAGCATCGAGGCAATGCCTGACCTTGTACTGCGTCTCGAAAGCATCGAGGCAATGCCTGACCTTGTACTGCGTCTCGAAAGCATCGAGGCAATGCCTGACCTTGTACTGCGTCTCGAAAGCATCGAGGCAATGCCTGACCTTGTACTGCGTCTCGAAAGCATCGAGGCAATGCCTGACCTTGTACTGCGTCTCGAAAGCATCGAGGCAATGCCTGACCTTGTACTGCGTCTCGAAAGCATCGAGGCAATGCCTGACCTTGTACTGCGTCTCGAAAGCATCGAGGCAATGCCTGACCTTGTACTGCGTCTCGAAAGCATCGAGGCAATGCCTGACCTTGTACTGCGTCTCGAAAGCATCGAGGCAATGCCTGACCTTGTACTGCGTCTCGAAAGCATCGAGGCAATGCCTGACCTTGTACTGCGTCTCGAAAGCATCGAGGCAATGCCTGACCTTGTACTGCGTCTCGAAAGCATCGAGGCAATGCCTGACCTTGTACTGCGTCTCGAAAGCATCGAGGCAATGCCTGACCTTGTACTGCGTCTCGAAAGCATCGAGGCAATGCCTGACCTTGTACTGCGTCTCGAAAGCATCGAGGCAATGCCTGACCTTGTACTGCGTCTCGAAAGCATCGAGGCAATGCCTGACCTTGTACTGCGTCTCGAAAGCATCGAGGCAATGCCTGACCTTGTACTGCGTCTCGAAAGCATCGAGGCAATGCCTGACCTTGTACTGCGTCTCGAAAGCATCGAGGCAATGCCTGACCTTGTACTGCGTCTCGAAAGCATCGAGGCAATGCCTGACCTTGTACTGCGTCTCGAAAGCATCGAGGCAATGCCTGACCTTGTACTGCGTCTCGAAAGCATCGAGGCAATGCCTGACCTTGTACTGCGTCTCGAAAGCATCGAGGCAATGCCTGACCTTGTACTGCGTCTCGAAAGCATCGAGGCAATGCCTGACCTTGTACTGCGTCTCGAAAGCATCGAGGCAATGCCTGACCTTGTACTGCGTCTCGAAAGCATCGAGGCAATGCCTGACCTTGTACTGCGTCTCGAAAGCATCGAGGCAATGCCTGACCTTGTACTGCGTCTCGAAAGCATCGAGGCAATGCCTGACCTTGTACTGCGTCTCGAAAGCATCGAGGCAATGCCTGACCTTGTACTGCGTCTCGAAAGCATCGAGGCAATGCCTGACCTTGTACTGCGTCTCGAAAGCATCGAGGCAATGCCTGACCTTGTACTGCGTCTCGAAAGCATCGAGGCAATGCCTGACCTTGTACTGCGTCTCGAAAGCATCGAGGCAATGCCTGACCTTGTACTGCGTCTCGAAAGCATCGAGGCAATGCCTGACCTTGTACTGCGTCTCGAAAGCATCGAGGCAATGCCTGACCTTGTACTGCGTCTCGAAAGCATCGAGGCAATGCCTGACCTTGTACTGCGTCTCGAAAGCATCGAGGCAATGCCTGACCTTGTACTGCGTCTCGAAAGCATCGAGGCAATGCCTGACCTTGTACTGCGTCTCGAAAGCATCGAGGCAATGCCTGACCTTGTACTGCGTCTCGAAAGCATCGAGGCAATGCCTGACCTTGTACTGCGTCTCGAAAGCATCGAGGCAATGCCTGACCTTGTACTGCGTCTCGAAAGCATCGAGGCAATGCCTGACCTTGTACTGCGTCTCGAAAGCATCGAGGCAATGCCTGACCTTGTACTGCGTCTCGAAAGCATCGAGGCAATGCCTGACCTTGTACTGCGTCTCGAAAGCATCGAGGCAATGCCTGACCTTGTACTGCGTCTCGAAAGCATCGAGGCAATGCCTGACCTTGTACTGCGTCTCGAAAGCATCGAGGCAATGCCTGACCTTGTACTGCGTCTCGAAAGCATCGAGGCAATGCCTGACCTTGTACTGCGTCTCGAAAGCATCGAGGCAATGCCTGACCTTGTACTGCGTCTCGAAAGCATCGAGGCAATGCCTGACCTTGTACTGCGTCTCGAAAGCATCGAGGCAATGCCTGACCTTGTACTGCGTCTCGAAAGCATCGAGGCAATGCCTGACCTTGTACTGCGTCTCGAAAGCATCGAGGCAATGCCTGACCTTGTACTGCGTCTCGAAAGCATCGAGGCAATGCCTGACCTTGTACTGCGTCTCGAAAGAATCGAGGCAATGCCTGACCTTGTACTGCGTCTCGAAAGCATCGAGGCAATGCCTGACCTTGTACTGCGTCTCGAAAGCATCGAGGCAATGCCTGACCTTGTACTGCGTCTCGAAAGCATCGAGGCAATGCCTGACCTTGTACTGCGTCTCGAAAGCATCGAGGCAATGCCTGACCTTGTACTGCGTCTCGAAAGCATCGAGGCAATGCCTGACCTTGTACTGCGTCTCGAAAGCATCGAGGCAATGCCTGACCTTGTACTACGTCTCGAAAGCATCGAGGCAATGCCTGACCTTGTACTGCGTCTCGAAAGCATCGAGGCAATGCCTGACCTTGTACTGCGTCTCGAAAGCATCGAGGCAATGCCTGACCTTGTACTGCGTCTCGAAAGCGTCGAGGCAATGCCTGACCTTGTACTGCGTCTCGAAAGCATCGAGGCAATGCCTGACCTTGTACTGCGTCTCGAAAGAATCGAGGCAATGCCTGACCTTGTACTGCGTCTCGAAAGAATCGAGGCAATGCCTGACTTTGTACTTCGTCTCGAAAGCATCGAGGCAATGCCTGACCTTGTACTGCGTCTCGAAAGCATCGAGGCAATGCCTGACCTTGTACTGCGTCTCGAAAGCATCGAGGCAATGCCTGACCTTGTACTGCGTCTCGAAAGCATCGAGGCAATGCCTGACCTTGTACTGCGTCTCGAAAGCATCGAGGCAATGCCTGACCTTGTACTACGTCTCGAAAGCATCGAGGCAATGCCTGACCTTGTACTGCGTCTCGAAAGCATCGAGGCAATGCCTGACCTTGTACTGCGTCTCGAAAGCGTCGAGGCAATGCCTGACCTTGTACTGCGTCTCGAAAGCATCGAGGCAATGCCTGACCTTGTACTGCGTCTCGAAAGAATCGAGGCAATGCCTGACCTTGTACTGCGTCTCGAAAGAATCGAGGCAATGCCTGACTTTGTACTTCGTCTCGAAAGCATCGAGGCAATGCCTGACCTTGTACTGCGTCTCGAAAGCATCGAGGCAATGCCTGACCTTGTACTGCGTCTCGAAAGCATCGAGGCAATGCCTGACCTTGTACTGCGTCTCGAAAGCGTCGAGGCAATGCCTGACCTTGTACTGCGTCTCGAAAGCATCGAGGCAATGCCTGACCTTGTACTGCGTCTCGAAAGAATCGAGGCAATGCCTGACCTTGTACTGCGTCTCGAAAGAATCGAGGCAATGCCTGACTTTGTACTTCGTCTCGAAAGCATCGAGGCAATGCCTGACCTTGTACTGCGTCTCGAAAGCATCGAGGCAATGCCTGACCTTGTACTGCGTCTCGAAAGCATCGAGGCAATGCCTGACCTTGTACTGCGTCTCGAAAGCATCGAGGCAATGCCTGACCTTGTACTGCGTCTCGAAAGCATCGAGGCAATGCCTGACCTTGTACTGCGTCTCGAAAGCATCGAGGCAATGCCTGACCTTGTACTGCGTCTCGAAAGCATCGAGGCAATGCCTGACCTTGTACTGCGTCTCGAAAGCATCGAGGCAATGCCTGACCTTGTACTGCGTCTCGAAAGCATCGAGGCAATGCCTGACCTTGTACTGCGTCTCGAAAGCATCGAGGCAATGCCTGACCTTGTACTGCGTCTCGAAAGCATCGAGGCAATGCCTGACCTTGTACTGCGTCTCGAAAGCATCGAGGCAATGCCTGACCTTGTACTGCGTCTCGAAAGCATCGAGGCAATGCCTGACCTTGTACTGCGTCTCGAAAGCATCGAGGCAATGCCTGACCTTGTACTGCGTCTCGAAAGCATCGAGGCAATGCCTGACCTTGTACTGCGTCTCGAAAGCATCGAGGCAATGCCTGACCTTGTACTGCGTCTCGAAAGCATCGAGGCAATGCCTGACCTTGTACTGCGTCTTGAAAGCATCGAGGCAATGCCTGACCTTGTACTGCGTCTCGAAAGCATCGAGGCAATGCCTGACCTTGTACTGCGTCTCGAAAGCATCGAGGCAATGCCTGACCTTGTACTGCGTCTCGAAAGCATCGAGGCAATGCCTGACCTTGTACTGCGTCTCGAAAGCATCGAGGCAATGCCTGACCTTGTACTGCGTGGCCCACATGAGCACATCATCCACTATGAGCCGCTCCACCATGGCATGCTCGCTCGCCGTGTTGTTGCAGCACGCACTGCTCTCCACGCGCCCCTCCGCGTCCCTCCGCACGTAGTACCCGGGTACCACCTAGTGCGTGGCACGATCAGCAAGAGATATGCAGGTAGTGGCGCAGAGAGGGAGGAGCGGCACAGAGAGGGAGGAGCGGCACAGAGAGGGAGGAGCGGCACAGAGAGGGAGTGTAAAAATAAGCAACGGGATGGGACGCAGCAGAGAGCTGTCACACGTTATTTGTCACTCAGACGCACCTTACAGAACACAAGGAAGGGGATGTGCTGGCTGTGAGGGCTGCGACACTGTGAGAACAGTAGGATATTCACCAAGACACACCTTATCGAGCACAGAAAAGGGGCTGTGAGGGCTGCTGGCGTAGAGGTGGTTGTATACCACGTCCAGCACCACGCGCAGCCCCATGCCATTCACTCCCTGCCCTTGCACCCGCCAGCCATGGGTGAGAAGCGATGTTGCAGGGGGGAACAGTACAGGGAGGGAAAAAAAATCAGAAAGAGTGGTTTTGTTTTTTGCGTAACGTTTACCACACTTTGGTGATCAGTGTGTGTGAGCTTCGTGTTCCCTTATGCAGTGCAGGGTATGTGATAACTGGCAATAACTGGCAATAACTGGCAATAACTGGCAATGACTGGCAATAACTGGCAATAACTAGCAATAACTGGCAATAACTGGCAATAACTGGCAATAACTGGCAATAACTGGCAATAACTGGCAATAACTTACGACTGTGCATGTTACTTTATGTGGTGTGAAGTCCTTTATTCACCCTAGAGATGAAAAAGGTGGTCACATCCTCCTCATGAAATTGGCACCACACTCACCACACCAGCCCTCTATACGCACTGGCACCGCATCACACCCACCTGCACCATGGAGCGGAACTCGAGGGTGCGGGCAGGGCCATCAGCCTGAGAGGCATAGCTGCCGTCCGGCACACCCCAATGCACCGGGTCGTACCTGGGGGAGGTGGGATGGGGGAGGGGTTCGCGGGGAGAGGGGATGGAGCGCACGTGGGGCAAGGGCCATGTGGGGTGGGGGGGAGGCAGGGGGCAGCCACCTTCCATCAGTACCAGCTGCCACTTTTGGTGGTGGGAAAAGGAACATGTTGCTGCTGGCTGGCAGTTGCTGAGGTGGGCCAGGCAACAGACTCACTCACCATTACATGTGATGTGCTCACTCACCCACTCACGTAACAACCATCCATGTGCACCATGCAAACATGCAAAACCCAGAACCCCGGCCACTAATTCCCCCCCACCCCCCCCATGCCCGAAAGCACTCACCCACAGCTGCATGCAATCCAAGTACCGAGCACGGCAAACCCTAATTCCATCCCAACCGCTCACCCCCAGTTGTACGCGTCCACATCCTTCACGGCCGCTACAGCTGCCTGCTGCCGGTCCGAGTCAGGCGGGTAGCTCCTGAGGGAGGGCTCATCTGCAGTGATGGAAGGGGGTTGGGGCGGACAGGTGGGAGGATGGGATGTGATGTGAGTCAGGCGGGTAGCTCCTGAGGGAGGGCTCATCTGGATATTCCGTGACCAGATGCGCACAAATCTGGTATTCCGTGCCCAACACAAACCGTGTCTCACCTCCACTGAAGTGTATTTTCTCCTGCCCGAAGTTTTTGTACCTGCCCGACACTCTGTCTTCCGGGTTTTTTTTTGTACGCTAGAAATCAGCGCATCGCTTATGTACGGTAGTGTATATAGTTAGTACGAGTACCGTACGCGATACATGGATTTTCCAACGTAGCCACAGTCTGCCACGTGCTCGTGAACTTATTCAAAGAGCATGCACTGGTAGCCACAGCATGGGCGCATGCGCATGGCGTGTGGGCAAAGGGACGGGGCACAGCAGCACACGGGGCGAGCAAGGTGAGGCACTGACCAGGTGCTTTTGTCCTCGTTGACGGAGCCGAAGTCATAGGCGGGCAGCAGGTGCAGGTGGGTGAGCCCGCTGCCTGCCAGCTGAGTCAGATGCTGTGCGCCCTGTGATTGCTGTGAGGTGGGGAGATGGCGGGAGAGAGGGAGGAGAGACGAGTCATTGGATGGAAGATGCAGGGGTAGGGGAGGGGTGGGGACGAGGCGCGGGCCAGCAGTGGGGAAGACACAGGGGGCAATAGCGTACATGGACGTGTATGTGGGAAGGCAAGGAGAATGGGTGAATAGCACGTGGACGGAGACAGGAGAGATGGGGCGGCATGGAAGCAGTGGGGCTCATGCAATGAGGTGGAGTGCGGGGTGTGTCGGGGGACTGCGGAAACGGGAGGCGGGGTGTGGGAAGGGAGTGGGGCAGGTGTGGTGCGGCGTTGGGGAAAAGTGGGGCAGGAGAAGGAGTGGCAGGCAGGGGTGCACGCACGGGGTGGGTGAAGGCCAGGTACGTTCCTCGGTGGGGCTCTGGCACTGAGGGGTCCGATGCACTGATGGATGCATTGGATGGTGGTGATGAGAGAGCATGGGAGAAAAAGGGGAGAGAGGGAGGGAATGGGAGAGGTTGGTGGGAAGCGAGACATGAGTTGTTTGTTGTATGGAAGTGCATGGAGCAGGGCAGAGCAGGTGAGCGAGTGCTGCGAGTGCATGCACCTGAAGAGAGGGGAGATCTGTGAGGGGAGTGAGTGAGCGGAGTGGGAGTAGCGAGTGCGCACCTGAAGTCACGGATGTGGAGCTCATAGATGGACACGTCTGAGAACGAGTGCAGGGGCGGCTTCTGCCGATGCAAAGTGGACCAATCAGGCGGCGCCAGCGAGGCATCACTCAGGTCAACCACCAATGAGCGCTCTCCATTGGCTGAGAGACTGATGGGCGTGGGAGAGGGGAAGGCGGCTGGGAAAAGAACAAGAGCAGCCCATGAGGCGAGGCTCCAGCAACCAGGGCGGAATGTGGAGGGACCAGAGCAAAGCGTGAGATAGCGTTGAAGGCACTTGCGAAAGCGGGTCGTCACATCACACTTGGGTTGGGCTTGTTTTCAAGTCAACGAGCATGGGTCAGTCAGTGAGTTGCAGTTGATGGCAGAGGCAAGGCACAAGAGGAGAGAGGGCGGAAGTGCATGCATGGCACGGTTGAAACAAAGTATGGAATACCAGAAGAGGACAAGGTACGTACCCGCGGGAGTAAGGGTCGGTGGTGACACATGTCTCGATTCTATTGGTGGAGGGATGGAAGACCCGGATCTCATACTGATAGTACATGCCCTGCCATGCCATGGGGCCCTGCGCGCTCCACTGCCCCTCGCTGCCCCTCTCCATGCGTTGGCGAGACACGGGGGGCGATGCATGTGGCTGGTCGAACAGCAGCAGCGTGACCTCCTGTGGGCAGAGCGATGACAAGGTTAACAGGGGAGGCGGGCAGGAGAGGAGAGCAGGTGAGGAGAGAAAGTGAGGAGGTGTATTAGGGGTTTCATTCTCAAAAACCACCTGCGAGGTGTATGAAGGCGGTGTGAAGAGCTCATCCTCAGCATGGGGTTGGTGGAACAGACGCAGTGGCAGGGCAGCTACTAAATAGGCAGAGTGGTGGGATGATGCGTGTGGGTGGTCGGAGAGTGGCAGAGCAGAGTGGCCTCCTGTGGGGAGACGTGTTGAGGGAGGGAGACGGAGGAGAGCGAAGCGAATGAGTGGGGGAGTTGAGGGGAGGAGGCGAGGAGAGGAGGCGAGGAGAAGGGGTGGGTGGGTAGAGGTGGTGAGGAGAGCAGGGAAGAAACCTATGAACTACATGACTCATGGGTGGTTAGTGGTGACCAGCCCACTCTAGGTTGGTTCCTACACATGGTCCCTGCTACTGTGGTTGCTTGTAAGTGGTGTGACTAGGTGGGAAGGAAAGTAGCATCACGAATGAAGAGTGAATGAAGAGGGAACGACTCCAGCATGTGCTCACAGTGCATGGCACATCCACAACGACGTCAGTCAGGTAAGGCATGGGTGCCCACACACATAAATGCTCCCAGTGCCACAGAGTCACCTCACCCCGCCCCCGTTGCGTTCTCAGTGACTCACAAGCTGACTCAACAGTCATCGCACCTGAGCCGTGGGCGCCCACACGTGAATGCTCACAGTGCCACTGCCACTGGACCACCAGTCCCCCCCCTGCTTCTCCACGTGCGCTCCCAGCGGCCCCTCGTACCCACACAGCGCGTCCAAGGCGCCTGCCAGCTGCAGGCACGTGGCGTCCAGGGGCGTGCCTGATGCTGTGGGGTGGGGTGAGGGGAGAGGAGTGGGGGGGTTAGGGGTAGAGAGAAGGGTCGGGAGCAGAGAGGGATGATGAGACGAGCGCAGCAAACATGATCACAGTGCACCGCGCCTGCCAGCCACCTGCAGCCTGCAGGCACGTGGCGTCGATGGGTGTGTTGGACGCTGGTGGAGGTTGGGAGGGGCAAGCGAATGAGAGGTTGCAATGGAAGGAGAGGGATGAGCGAGCACAGAGCAGTATCGCTCCTGGCGGCACTGCGGCAGCACATCTTGTGCTCCTGCCAGCTGCTGCTACGATGAGGCACGAGTATGCATGCTGATAAGGGTGCAGTGGAGGGGGGGAGTGGTGCAAAGGGATGAAGCAACGCGATGCACGCACAGGGGGGGCATGCAAGCAATACAGCAGGGCAGGCGATCAAGCATGGTGAGAGCCATGAACAGCAGACTTCCCATGTGACCGATGCATGCTCTCCTTGCAACCCACGTTCAAGCAACTGCCTCTTCAAACATGCCCCCCCTTGCTCAGCCCAACAGCCTGCTTTCATGCAGGAACCCTTCCTCTCCCCTGTCCATCCTCTCAGCCCCATGCCACCCTTCCTCCTCTCAGCCCCATGCCACCCTTCCTCCTCTCAGCCCCATGCCACCCTTCCTCCTCTCAGCCCCATGCCACCCTTCCTCCTCTCAGCCCCATGCCACCCTTCCTCCTCTCAGCCCCATGCCACCCTTCCTCCTCTCAGCCCCATGCCACCCTTCCTCCTCTCAGCCCCATGCCACCCTTCCTCCTCTCAGCCCCATGCCACCCTTCCTCCTCTCAGCCCCATGCCACCCTTCCTCCTCTCAGCCCCATGCCACCCTTCCTCCTCTCAGCCCCATGCCACCCTTCCTCCTCTCAGCCCCATGCCACCCTTCCTCCTCTCAGCCCCATGCCACCCTTCCTCCTCTCAGCCCCATGCCACCCTTCCTCCTCTCAGCCCCATGCCACCCTTCCTCCTCTCAGCCCCATGCCACCCTTCCTCCTCTCAGCCCCATGCCACCCTTCCTCCTCTCAGCCCCATGCCACCCTTCCTCCTCTCAGCCCCATGCCACCCTTCCTCCTCTCAGCCCCATGCCACCCTTCCTCCTCTCAGCCCCATGCCACCCTTCCTCCTCTCAGCCCCATGCCACCCTTCCTCCTCTCAGCCCCATGCCACCCTTCCTCCTCTCAGCCCCATGCCACCCTTCCTCCTCTCAGCCCCATGCCACCCTTCCTCCTCTCAGCCCCATGCCACCCTTCCTCCTCTCAGCCCCATGCCACCCTTCCTCCTCTCAGCCCCATGCCACCCTTCCTCCTCTCAGCCCCATGCCACCCTTCCTCCTCTCAGCCCCATGCCACCCTTCCTCCTCTCAGCCCCATGCCACCCTTCCTCCTCTCAGCCCCATGCCACCCTTCCTCCTCTCAGCCCCATGCCACCCTTCCTCCTCTCAGCCCCATGCCACCCTTCCTCCTCTCAGCCCCATGCCACCCTTCCTCCTCTCAGCCCCATGCCACCCTTCCTCCTCTCAGCCCCATGCCACCCTTCCTCCTCTCAGCCCCATGCCACCCTTCCTCCTCTCAGCCCCATGCCACCCTTCCTCCTCTCAGCCCCATGCCACCCTTCCTCCTCTCTCTCCCCATCCATCCACCCCATACATCAACAATCACCTCTCCACCCCTAGCCCCTCGCCCCTCCCCACAGACACGCACCAGAGGAGCAGGCGAGGGCGGTCTGCGAGGCAAGCAGGCGATGCAGGTGGGGGAGGGGGGTGGCGGGCAGGCGTAGGCAGGTGAAGGACGCTAGGAGGGGGAACTTGGTGCGCACCTGCATGGGGAAGGGGAAGAGGGGAGGGGGAGCGGAGGAGGGAGAAGGTGAGGGAGGGGGTTGAAGGACAGGTGCAGGCAGATAAACGACGCTAGGTGGGGGAACTTGGTGCGCACCTGCATGGGGCAAGGGGGAAGCATGGGCGCGGGGAGGGAGGGAGGGGTGGGGTTGGGTTTTCAAAAGGAAGAGAGAGGGCTGAAAGATTGATAGTGCGAGGGTGTGTGAGGAGTGGAGATGAAGGGAGATGGTTTTGACAAGAGTGGGGTGGTAAGAAGTTGCAGGAGATGCAAAAAAATCTGAATAGAACTTGTCACGGGTCATGGGTCATTACACCATGCACCACTGCACCACTGCACCACTGCACCATGGCGTGCCTGAATGCACCATGCCATGCGCCATCCCGCCATACGGTGGGGTGTGATGCTTACAGCAGGTGAGAGGCCGGCAGGGTCCAGCGTGAGGGGAATGACGGAGTCCGCTCCTGGTGTGCCATTGGTGATGGCCGGCCGGCAGGCAGGCACGCAGGCATGCAGGCGTGGAGGCGTGTAGGCATGCAGGCAGGCAGGCAGGCAGGCAGGCAGGCATGATGAAGGGAGGGAGAGAGGATTGATGGCAGGGGAGGTGACGGTGGAATGGTGATGAGTTCATCACCAAGCGATGATACATGCTGGTAGCACGATGACAGACGGTAGTAAAGTGATGATGGATGATGGTAAAGTGATGATGGATGATGGTAAAGTGATGATGGATGATGGTAAAGTGACGATGGATGATGGTAAAGTGACGATGGATGATGGTAAAGTGACGATGGATGACGACACGACACCTTGCACGCCGTCCTCTGTGAGGGAGAGTGAGGCGGATTCGCTGGCATGCAGGGAGAAGAGAATCTGCTCGCCATAGTCACTCTCGTTATAGTCCCAATCCACTGCAATCTCGTCCGCCAACACCCAGTGCGCCTTGAAGAGATCCAAACTGCCCTGCACGCATGCACACACAGGTTCGTACCGCACCGCACACCACACCACACAAGGCACACGCTCCACCCAGCATACACCGAACACAACGCAGAGAGCCACAGACAGGGATCGTGTAGGTGAGTGTGGGACGGCACGTGGTGCGAGGCAAGCAGAGGGTAGGGCAGCAATGAGGGCACTCATGCAGCAAGCAAGGATGGATGAAGTGACAGCGGCACTGCACATGTAGCACTGCACATGTAGCACTGCACATGTAGCACTGCACATGTAGCACTGCACATGTAGCACTGCACATGTAGCACTGCACATGTAGCACTGCACATGTAGCACTGCACATGTAGCACTGCACATGTAGCACTGCACATGTAGCACTGCACATGTAGCACTGCACATGTAGCACTGCACATGTAGCACTGCACATGTAGCACTGCACATGTAGCACTGCACATGTAGCACTGCACATGCAGCACTGCACATGTAGCACTGCACATGCAGCACGAGAAGGGAGCAGTCTTACCCGCCCAGATCCACCCACGGAACTCCTTGAAACGAGGGACAGGCTGGGGTGCGTGAGAAGAGCAGCAGCGTGGGGCAGGAGAGAGGCGGGTGGAGGTACCTTGGGGAGGCGGTCGAGGTTGGGGGCGTGCAGAAAGGGGCGCTGGCAGTCGGAGATGAGCCACACTGTGGGGCCGCGCTGGGCGCTGGTGGAGGGCGGTGGTGAGGGCAGCGCTTCCATGTCTATGGCCCACGTGCAGTCCTGTAGTGGGGTGGGGGGGAAGGGGGGAAGGGAGGGAGGGAGGGAGGGATGAAGGGAGGAGCAGGAAGGAAATAGAGAGCGGACGAGAGAGCGAGGGACGAGCGTGAGAGCGAGAGAAGAGGGGGAGAGCAAGAGAGAGCAATTACACGCAGTGAGGAGACAAGGAGGTGGGGACAATGGAGAGTGGAAAGGTGATGGTACGCATGGTGATGCTGATGGTGGAATTACGAGATGGGATGGAACCGAGAGAGGTATCAAGTAGGGGGTGCCAGGCATGAGGCAGGAGGGCGTGAGGCGTGTGGCATGAGACATGTGGAATGGGAGACACAAGGCATGGGCAGTGAGAGCAGGACTGTGGCATGGGAGCCAGGGAGGCGAGGGACAGTACAGTGCAATGAAAGTGAGGAACGCACCTTCCAGTCCCCTCGGTGTGGCAGCACGTTCACTGTGCGCGCCTGTGGCTGCAGCTGCACGCGCCACTCCACCCACTTCATGCCGCCACCAGAACCACCAACAACACCACCAGTAGCAGCGGCAGGCGAGGAGTCCAGGGGGTGTTGCCAGTCGGTCTCTGCCTCCACGTCGCCCCACACGTGCAGCCCCCATCCGTTTTAGTCACCATCGCCCCTGCCAGTGCCAGCACACACAGCGGCGCATGGTGACACGGGAGGAAGCATGCATGGGGTCGGGGGGCGCACTGGTTGTCATGCCATGCACTGCCATGACATGCCGCCCTGCCTTTTCACACAAGGCGTGGCAGGGGTATGAACCTAGATCGGCACAAGTGACCAGGATAGCCCTCATTGCGTGGAATCATTGTGCGCGTGCAGCCCAGCACGAGTGACCGGAGCAGCCTTTTCCTGGCAGCACTGGCATGTGCGGTGCAGACAAGGCGGGCGCGGGGATGTGGAGACGGGTGTCACGTGGCATGGCGTGGGCGTGCAGCCATGTCTACAGGCGTGTATCGCCATAACAGATGATTACACGATGACACGCATACTGGAGACCCCTCACCCCTTTCACCCATCCCTCCCCACCCCAACTTCCCCCGCGTTCCCCACACATCTTCCTTTCCCCCAACCCACCTTTTCCCCTCCCCGCCCCCCTCCTCTTCCCCTTCCGCACCTATGATACACTACGCGCAGCATGTTCCCGCTCCCTGCTTTTCCCTCAGCTGCTCCCGCCTCCTCCCCTCCCCCCTCTGTTTCCGCCCCATTCACCCCCCCGCCAGAACATCGCGGAGTAGTCAGGGAAGCGCGCCGGCTGGCGGAGGCAGAGCGCGGACTAAGCGCTGCGCGCGCGCGGGGAAGGCCAGCGGTGACGCAAGCGGGGAGCATCGCGCGCTGCCCTTCTCGACCTGGCTGCGATCCGCCAGAGCGCGAGGAGGCGGCGGTCGCGGCGGCGTAGGGGACGAGGGGGCGAGAGCACAGCACGAAGGCCATGACGAGTCACGAGAGCCTGTTGGCCGATCGCCGTACGAATCTTGATACGAATCTAAGGCTTCACTTCAAGTGAAGTCTGTGACTCTCACTCATTGCCTGCTGCTCATCAGAGTGTATTGAATCTAACTGAATTAGGATGGTGCTAACTGGGATGGCGCCCAGGAGGAGTTCACGGAAGGAGGTGGAATCAAATCAAAACGAACCTGAAATGCTACATGGTGAGAAAGAGTGAACGCGTAAGGAAATTTCCAGCATTCCTTAATGCGCAGCTCAACATGGCGTACATGACCAACCGTTTCTTCTCCTGAACTGCTAACGGGGCTTCGCCAACTTCGTGCGCACTGTTCACCAAACTGTGCACCGCTGGACTGGCCCGAGTCGGCCTACGCTTCTGGACTAGCCCGAACCTCGCTGTCAGCATCGTACTAGCTAGCTCGCACGCACCGCATTACCGTTTGCATGTTTCGCTGAATTGTGAAAGCTTGCTACGGTATTTGTCTTGCAAATGCAACGTCTCATTTCAACTGGGAAGTACAAGATTTTTATCGTCCAAGCAATTTACAGGATAACAACAATAAATTCCCTACTAAACTAGGGTGGGAGGGTGGGGAACTTGAAAACTGAAAAGTTTGAAATGAAAAACGTGGGTGAAGGCCAAATGGCCTTCGCCCCCTCTTTTATACATGGTAGAATCTGAAGTGATTGAATAGGATCGTATTACTTAGGATGGTAGCTTCCTGTCGTAGCGGAAGTCTTATATGAGTTAAAGCCTGTTATAAAGGCTTTGTCTGGACTTAATAAAAGCCCATGTAGTGATATGTTTCAGGATCAATGTCTCTGAAATCAGATATGTCAAACATATGCATATCTATGTTATATTTTGGGTAGGCTTAGTGGTGTACAACCCCTTAGGTTCATTTTCTTTGTACCAACCTTCTCGATAGTCGACATCACTCATGCCTAGGTTCTAAGTGTGAAGAATTAAACAGGAATGAATGAACTAGGAAAGAGTGAGATACAAATATGAAACCTGTACCCCTTAGTGTCTACCCCACTACAGCCTACATAGGCTAAGGCATATACATCTGACACACCCCCATAGGCAAAGTGGGGGAGAACTAGGGGTCACAAGACCAGTCAAGCAAAGCAAAGCAAAGCAAGCTCAGGGTGGATCACAACGTCACCACACAGTCTGAGCACCGGTTCAAAGGCCACAAGGCCAGTTCACATGCAAGTTCATATATAAAGGTAAACAAGCAAGTGCAGGTATATATAGATCACAGTACAAGGAAAGTCAAGAGGTAAGCAAGTGAGGCCAAGTAGGCACAAGACCTAGCATAGTACAGAAGCGCTGATGATCACAAGGCTGAAGTGCCTTGGTAAAGATATCAGCAGTGTTGGCCTGAGAGGCCACGTAAGCAAGGCGCAGCTGACCACGCTGCTGCAGCTCACGAGCAAGGAAGTAGCGAAGAGCAATGTGCTTCGTTCTGTGCTCCAGTCTGTGCTCCCGACACAAGGCCAGCATAGCCTTGTTGTCTACGTACAGAACTGGAGGAGAACGAGGCGGCTCTCCCAGGTCAGTCAGCAAGTAGGTGAGCCAGCGTAACTCCTCTGCAGCCATGGCCCCTTCGTAGATCTCAGCCTCACAGCTGGAGCTGAGAACAGAAGACGAGCGAGTAGACCGCCACGAAACAGAGCCGGAACCAAGGCTGAAGGTGTAACCCTGTGACGACCGCTAAGTAGCCAGGTCGTCAACCCAAGACGCGTCTGCGTAACCAGTGAGGACCACTGGACTCCGCCCTCCAAGCACTAGCCCCAAGCCCGAAGTACTGCACAAGTAGCGCAACACCCTCTTCGCTGCAGCCATGTGCTCTGGTCGGTGTCTCCCAGGAGCAACATAGCGTGCCAAGATGCTCAGAGGGTATGCTAGGTCAGGTCGAGTGCAGGTCATCAGGTACATGAGGCAGCCAACAAGCTCTGGGTACGGGCCACTCGGCTCTACGGACTCATCCGAAGGCAGAGCTGAGAGCGAGTGGCGAGTAGACAGAGGAGTGGCCTGAGGCGAGGAGTACGTGAAGTCGAAGCGCTGAAGGACCTGCTGCACCATGTGTGACTGAGTCAAGGTAATGGTGCGCCGTGCTCTGTCCCGGGTGATCTGCAAGCCAAGATAGCTGCGCAATTCACCCAGGTCTGTGCACGTGTGTCTCTTCTGCAGCTCGGACTTCACGTGGGCGAGTCCAGCAGTGTCAGCTGTAGCAAACACCAAGTCGTCGACGTACACGAGGATGTAGAACGGTGGCAGCAAAGTGTCGGTGCGAAGAAACAGCGACGGGTCTGCAGTGGAAGGAGCAAACCCAAGAGCCGCAAGCGTAGTCCTCAGTGTGTCGTGCCACTCACGTGGCGCCTGGCGGAGACCGTAGACTGGCCGCCGGAGGCTCCACTGGGTACCAGGAGGAAACGACCCAGTGAAGCCAGGTGGGCGGCGCAGCCAGATCTCCTCGTGCAGACTGCCCTGTAGGAAAGCAGTGCTGAAGTCAAGGGAGTGAAGCTCGTAGTCACGCTGAGCAGCAACGTGCAGCAGAACCCGAAGAGTGGTCATCTTCGGGGTCGGGGAGAAGGTCTGAAAGAAGTCAACTCCCTGCCGCTGACTGAAGCCTCGAGCCACGTAACGCGCCTTGAAGACAGGCGGAGAACCCGGCGACCGCTTCACCCTGAAAATCCACATGCCACTGACGATGTTCGCCCCAGGTGGGGGAACCTCGTCGACGTAGGTGCCTGTGGACTTCCAGGAAGCCATCTCTGCGTCCATGGCTGCCTACCACTGAGAGGAGTAAGGACCCTCTATCGCCTCTGCGTAAGAGCGCGGGGTCGGGATGTCTGGTGCATCCGGGTCTCCCTCAGGGGCAAGCAGCGTGGATACGAGATGAGTTAAAGCAGCAGCAAAACACTGGAACTCCTCCTGTCGGTCCTCAAGGACGTCCGTGCTAAGAGCACACTCACCCCCGACGGACGGAGGACAGACAGACGCAGACGCAGCAACAAGACTAGCGGTGTAGTCTAGACGACAGTGAGCAGCGAAGTCGACAAGCTCGGTAACTAAGGCAGACGCAGCAGTGGACTCAAAGGAAGGGTCAGTGACAACAGTGGCTAGGAAACGCGTGACAGTAGGACTGGCAGCACGAAGGGAGTCAGACGCCGGGTCAGCAAGAGCAGGAAGAGAGGACTCTGGAGGAGACGGCAAAGGGACACGCTGTGGCGCAGTGGAAGGACGCAGTGCCATCTGATGCGTGCCCGGGACCGCAGGAGGACGCGGACGTGGAACACGACGACTAGTGCGAGCAGTGCGAACAGGCGACGCAAGACGCGACGTAGGGTCACGACGCTCAGCAAGACCTCCAGTAGGACCAGCGTAGGGAGAAGGAGCAGGCAGAGGGGAGACCAGCTGTAACTGTGACTCGGACTGGACAGGCGGAGGACACTCTAAGGAAGGAGCAGGACTAGGAGAAGGCTGAAGACCAAGAACCTGCTCAAGGAGCGGAACGAAGTACGGCCGCGGCCGCGCAGCACCTCCAGAACCAGCAGGGACAACACCAGTACCCCCAGCGCCAGCTCCAACTCCAGCAGCACCACCAGCTTCAGTACCTCCAGCAGCTCCAGCTCCAGCAGGACCACCAGCAGACACAGCCGCTCTGGCTCCAGTACCTCCAGTAGCACCCACTCCAGCAGCACCACCAGCTCCAGCTCCACCAGTAGCTCCAGCACCAGGAGCACCACCAGGCCCAGCAGCTCCAGTACCTCCAGTACGAGCACCTCCGAGACCCGTGGCTCCAGTACCCCCAGCACAAGCAGAACCTCCAGTACCGGCTCCAGCAGCACCTCCAGCTCCAGAACCTCCAGCAGCAGCAGAACCCCCAGCACCGGCAGCACCTCCAGCTCCAGCAGTACGGCTCCAGCGGCGAGCAAACCACTCGCGCAGCTCCTGTGGAGAGGGAAGCTCCCGCCGGGACAAAGCACCCGAAGGACCGCCAGGTCCAGCACCGACAGGCTCCACACCCCCACTCCCAGCAGCCCCAGGCTCAGCACCCCCAGAAGCAGCACCCCCAGGCCCCGCACGCTCAGGCTCAGCACCCCCAGACCCAGCACCCCCAGGCTCCGCACGCTCAGGCTCAGCACCCCCAGACCCAGCACCCCCAGGCTCCGCACGCTCAGGCTCAGCACCCCCAGACGCACCAGAGTCAGCAGCTACCTCGACAGGCTCGACTGCATCTACCTGGGACACACCTGAGGGGGCAGGACCCTGAGGGGGGAGGGGGTCTACCGGGGGGGGACCGGGAGCGAGGAAGAGCGGCGGGGGGGGGAGGGGGGCAGTGCGGTAGGGGAAGAGACGGTAGTACGGAACCAACTCGTCAAACGTGACGTCCTGGGAGGACAGAACACGACGCGAGGTGGGGTGGTAAAACTGCCAACCAGGCGCGTCAGGGGGAAAGCCGAGGAAGACGCAAGGAACAGCACGGGAGGACAGCTTGTCCGTAGACAAGTCTCGGACGAAAGCTCGAGATCCCCAGACACGGAACGCAGACACATCACCAACCTTCCCCGTCCACCGCAGAGTAGGGGAGGTCTCCGGCAGGGAGACCCGGGGCTGAAGGTTGATCTGATGCGCCGCGTACTGAACCGCGAACGGCCACAGAAAATGGGGAGCAGCCGCATGGATCATGGACGTACGAGCGACATCCATGACCATGCCAATGCGGCGCTCAGCAATCCCATTTTGCTGTGGAGAGGCCGGAAGCGTGAACGTCTGGCGGATGCCCTCCGCACGACAGAAGGCTCGCAGAAGGTCGGAGGAAAACTCTCCGCCTCTGTCGGAGTGCAGACGCAGAACAGGAAAGTCCGAGCCGAAACGCTCTCTGAGCTGGAGATGAGCAACGCGGATCCAGTCGATCAACACCTCAGTGACCTCACCCTTGCTGCGCAAGGGGAAGACAGTGGTGTAACGC